CTTAATTTTTCGCCCAAAAAAAAAAAACGTAAGGGGTACCACTGTCGTTTTTTTTTTCGGGCCGAATTTTTTAGTTTCGATATCTCAGCTCTGGAAGGGGCTAGAGCCTCCATTTTTGCACTCAGGTCTAAGTCTCATGGCCCTCTATCAGAATCCAGAGTTTTGGGAAAATTGGAGAAACTTAATTTTTCGCCAAAAAAAAAAACGTAAGGGGTACCACTGGTACCCTTACGTTTTTTTTTTTTTGGGCGAAAAATTAAGTTTCTCCAATCTTCCAAAACTCTGGATTCTGATAGAGGCCATGAGACTTAGACCTGAATGCAAAAATGGAGGTTCTAGCCCTTCCAGAGCTGAGATATCGAAACTCAAAAATTCGGCCCGAAAAAAAAAAACGACAGTGGTACCCTTACGGTTTTTTTTTTTGGGCGAAAAATTAAGTTTCTCCAATCTTCCCAAACTCTGGATTCTGATAGAGGGCATGAGACTTAGAACTGAGTGCAAAAATGGAGGCTCTAGCCCCTTCCAGAGCTGAGATATCGAAACTCAAAAATTCGCCCGAAAAAAAAAACGACAGTGGTACCCCTTACGTTTTTTTTTTTTTGGCGAAAAATTAAGTTTCTCCAATTTTCCCAAAACTCTGGAGTCTGATAGAGGGCCATGAGACTTAGACCTGAGTGCAAAATGGAGGCTCTAGCCCCTTCCAGAGCTGAGATATCGAAACTCAAAAATTCGGCCCGAAAAAAAAACGACAGTGGTACCCCTTACGTTTTTTTTTTTTGGGCGAAAAATTAAGTTTCTCCAATCTTCCCAAAACTCTGGATTCTGATAGAGGGCCATGAGACTTAGACCTGAGTGCAAAAATTGAGGCTCTAGCCCCTTCCAGAGCTGAGATATCGAAACTCAAAAATTCGGCCAGAAAAAAAAACGACAGTGGTACCCCTTACGTTTTTTTTTTTGGACGAAAAATTAAGTTTCTCCAATCTTCCCAGAACTCTGGATTCTGATAGAGGGCCATGAGACTTACACCTGAGTGCAAAAATGGAGGCTCTAGCCCTTCCAGAGATGAGATATCGAAACTCAAAAATTCGGCCAGAAAAAAAAACGACAGTGGTACCCTTACGTTTTTTTTTTTTGGGCGAAAAATTAAGTTTCTCCAATCTTCCCAAAACTCTGGATTCTGATAGAGGGCCATGAGACTTAGACCTGAGTGCAAAAATGGAGGCTCTAGCCCCTTCCAGAGCTGAGATATCGAAACTCAAAAATTCGGCCCGAAAAAAAAAACGACAGTGGTACCCCTTACGTTTTTTTTTTGGGCGAAAAATTAAGTTTCTCCAATCTTCCCAGAACTCTGGATTCTGATAGAGGGCCATGAGACTTACACCTGAGTGCAAAAATGGAGGCTCTAGCCCCTTCCAGAGATGAGATATCGAAACTCAAAAATTCGGCCCGAAAAAAAAAAAACGACAGTGGTACCCCTTACGTTTTTTTTCTTGGGCGAAAAATTAAGTTTCTCCAATCTTCCCAAAACTCTGGATTCTGATAGAGGGCCATGAGACTTAGACCTGAGTGCAAAAATGGAGGCTCTAGACCCTTCCAGAGCTGAGATATCGAAACTCAAAAATTCGGCCGGAAAAAACGACAGTGGTACCCCTTACGTTTTTTTTTTTTGGCGAAAAATTAAGTTTCTCCAATTTTCCCAAAACTCTGGATTCTGATAGAGGGCCATGAGACTTAGACCTGAGTGCAAAAATGGAGGCTCTAGCCCCTTCCAGAGCTGAGATATCGAAACTAAAAAAAATTCGGCCCGAAAAAAAAACGACAGTGGTACCCCTTATGTTTTTTTTTGGGGACGAAAAATTACGTTTCTCCAATCTTCCCAAAACTCTGGATTCTGATAGAGGGCCATGAGACTTAGACCTGAGTGCAAAAATGGAGGCTCTAGCCCCTTCCAGAGCTGAGATATCGAAACTCAAAAATTCGGCCCGAAAAAAAAACGACAGTGGTACCCCTTACGTTTTTTTTTTTGGGACGAAAAATTACGTTTCTCCAATCTTCCCAAAACTCTGGATTCTGATAGATGGCAATGAGACTTAGACCTGAGTGCAAAAATGGAGGCTCTAGCCCCTTCCAGAGCTGAGATATCGAAACTCAAAAATTCGGCCCGAAAAAAAATTCGGGCCGAATTTTTGAGTTTCGATATCTCAGCTCTGGAAGGGGCTAGAGTCAGATCAACGGCAAGGGGCCGTTGATCTGACTGGAAGGGGCAATGTCAGATCAACGTTGTTTCGATGTCATATTTTTTTTACGTTGATTCAATGTCAGTTTGCTATCTGGGTAGTGTGTTCGCTGCATTTGTAATGTTAACAATGGGTTAACATCCGGGTTTCACGTTTGAAGGGGTTAAACCGTACATCTACACGTTTTCCAAAGTGGACCAACGTGATTATTTCACGTCTTGTCGTGATACCGGGTTGCATATCCGGTAGAAATATTTAAATTTTGCTGCGCATCGGTGTAAGTTTATAATTTAAACGCGTTTTTAAACATTGTGGTTTGGATACAAATTATTTCAAACTGCTCAGGCACAGTGAGCAGCGGGAGAGAATTCATAAGCTGGTTTTGAGACCATGGTGAACTTGAGACGGTGTTGCACATGCAGCGCACTTGAATCCGACTCTGAGTTCTCAAAGTGACAGACGCTGCTAATAAAGATGCTGTCGCCATGTGTGTGTGATAGTGAAAACCATGTAGGCTATTGTATATTTGGGAGGGGGGGCTCCTGCAATAACTCATAGCCCCGGGGCCCAGTGAGCTCTTAATACGGCCCTGCTTGCAGGTTCACCCCCTGGTCCCGGAAGGGAGTGGTAGGAACCTTGGGCACATCTCCAGGCCGGGGTCTCAGGATCACATGAGAGTGACCGGGCCTGAATTCCAAGCACGCTTCGTCAACGGAGAATGCGTGCAGGTCCCCTACCCTCTTAAAGGAGGCCAGTGCAACCAGGAGCACCGTCTTCATAGACAGAAATTTAAGCTCAACTATGCAGAGGCTCAAAGGGAGCCCTCTGCTGGGCTTTTAAGACCACTGAGAGGTCCCAAGAGGAGGATTCAGTCTCGTGATCAGGTCGTGCTTCCCTAGTGACTTACCTTCAACTGCTATAGCGGCCACATACACCTTCAGGGTGGAGGGAGACATTCTTCGCTCCAACCCATCTTGCAGGAAGGAAAGCACAACACTGATCAGGCATCTCTAGGGGTCTTCTCAGTGAGAAGAGCACCAGTTGACGAAGAGGTTCCACTTCAACGCATAGACATGTCTCGTAGGCGATGCTCTAGCGGAAGTGATGGTAGCCACCACCGCAGGTGGCAGGGTACTCAAACCTGCCTCCCATCCAGGAGCCACACATGGAGCTACCAAGGATCGGGACGAAGGTGGCGTCTCTAAAAAAGGACGTCCTTCCTCAGAGGAGTTGGTGAACCGATTTCGCTTATAGTATTGGTTCTTATGGGTTGCCCGAATTCTGAAATCGGATTATTCTTGATTTTGATCTGGATCAAATCATGAGTTTGTATAAGAACTCAGGTTCTGATATTTCTCACGCAGGTTTTTAACCAAACTATCCTGTGCCATGCAAACCCTATAAAGCCTACATATTTGATACGCAAAATTCTCTAAAGTATTTAAAGGCCTCTAAATTTCAACATGATCAAAAAACAAACACAAAAAGCCTTCTGTCATCTGTTTCTGATTGATAGTTTAAATATATTTAAGTTTTTAAAGTAGCCCATCATTTAAAAAAAAAAAATCCACTTTCTGCTTCAGGTCATGCTAGACAGTAGCTATTTGTACTGACATTTTTACAGATTTTAAAAATAAAAGTAAACATAAGAATGTTATAATGTTAGTTATAGATAATTAGTAGCATTGCATTATGTTTTGCCCCCACAACAAAAACTAAAACATCTTACCAAGACGTTATGTTGGAGACAGAGTGACAACTGGTATTTTATAAATTTTGCTATACCTTTCTAAAATCAGAATATTATCTTACTTTTTGGCCATATACACTGTAGTTATTAGCAAATAGAAACAGCACCAAATTGCATATTTTTGCTCAGTTTGGACCAGTTTTTCCTCCTCGAATATGAACTCAAAAACAAAAAACAGAACTATTATTTCATGTCAGGCTTTACAGTGTTAAAATTAACTCCAGCACTGTTGCAATGCTTCTTGTTCTGATTTGACCATTTTAAGATTATTGCCACCAGCAAATAAACTTGTTCGATTAACAGCTGATAGCGCCCCCTAGTGTCAGTTCAACAATTTACCAACAGTCTTCACAATGTTTTACTGTTTGAGTACATTTGGATTAAATATTTTGTAAACATGTTAACACTGTTTATATCCCCTTTCCAGTTTTAAATTGTGTAATACGCTATCAGCATTTTAGCAGTCACCCAATAATTTTTCAATATTTTGTATAAACAAGGAAGCTAATTATAGTGAAAATCAATAGTGGAAACAATGTCCATAGTGCTGGTAAGCTTTTTTTTTTTATATTTATATCTAATTCCAGGCTAAACAGAGTCTGAGAATAACATCCACCTACTGTTATGAACAAATACAAATCCATATCATAATGCAGCTTTCTGTTGGACTTACACACAAGCAAATCTCTTCAGTTCCAGGCATCAATTTGATAGTTTTGTTACTACTTTTATGTGAAGCTTTTAAACTACCAATAAATCAGACAAATGGCTTAAATTACACCAAACTGTAGCTGATTTCAAAATAAATCACTCCTTTCTGAAAACAAGACAGTTATATATTTCTATACATACAGCCATTGTTTCAAGTTTCAATCCTCATCAACATTTAACACACAAACACGCTCATTTTCAGAGTAATATTCATGTTTACTGCGACATTGCTGCAGATGTCGGGTAAAAAGGCCATTACTCAATCACAAGAACTTTGGGCACCAAATGAAAAAAGACACGCATTGCATTCCCGACTGCTTTAATAAATCAGAGACAAATGTGTCTTCCACTTAGTCTCATTCAAGCAGGAATCAGCTGTATAAAACAGTCAAGCATGTTCTGCACACCTGCATTGGACGAGTCAGTCAACGAGTAAACATTAGATGAGAGGGACGTTTCACACATTCACTACCATGTGTCATCATACAAGCATTGATATTCAAGGAGAAAGCATTCCAAAGTTCTCCCAAAGACAACGTGGTTTTTATCTAATCATAACATTCAAGTTCATATCCTGTTTTTTTTCTTCTTCTTCTTCTTGTTTTTTGGTTTTCTTACATGTAAAACCTCTTTGTCTTGTTGATTGGCAAATAGTTAAAAACTGTTAGTGGCAGCCGTGCTAATGGGTCACGTGTCTGTTTCAGTCTTGGCCCTTTAACAGTTCACAGAATATGAAAAATGTTCTGCTACAGGCATCTGGAAAAATAAATGAGTGTTTTTCTCCCAAAACACAATGCTGAGTAACATAATTCTTAAAAAAAAAAAAAAAAAAAAAAAAAAAAAACTGATCAGTCTTTTGTTTTACGGTTTGATTTCTTTAGCTTATCCGTTTAAAATAGAATGACTGTTCATTATTTCGTACCAACATTCAAATTTCAATACTGCTGAAGTTCTACAAAGGCATAAATAAAAACAGAATATAATACATGACGCTGTATAAAATTCAAAATAAAATGTATATACTTATTTTTTTGTTTGTTTGTTTGTGTTTTTTGGAAATAATTGCCAGAGAGGCAAATGACATTTTTGAGAGCAGGAAAACACCAAGTATACCCCTGAGATTAAAAATAAATTCCCTATATGCATGTGAGAACAGTTGTTCTAATCGTTGCCTAAAACTACATTGCGCTACGGAAAACTTGAAGGCACAAAAACTGAGGCTTTTTGACCCCAGGACTACACACCGCACAGCTGAAGACCCCAGCTCACTCGTAACAAATGACTCCACAACACTTCACATCAGAACGGAACACTTTAGATAATCGTGGTAACAGAATTAGTCTCCGTGCGGCTCAGGATACTTCAACTTGGGGCTCATTGTTTCTTGTTTTTTAGGTAGAAATAAAAAATAAAAATAAAAACAGCTGAGTCAAAGTTCATACTTTAGAGGGAGCAAGGCAGTGATTGAAGGTTAAGGGCCAGAATTCAGAGAGAATCAACAGTTGAGACGCTCTATAAATGATAGATGCCCTGCATTAAGGCTGGATAATCATGGACTACGGTAAGTTAAAAAATGAAAACTGCAGGACCTCCAGAACAGTCACCAGGATACCATATATAACATAGTTGTGTTCCTCTTTTCCTTTTGTTTTTACCCAACATATATTCTTATATATTTTTATAGATAGATAGAGAGAGATGTGTATATAGATACACATAATTCTGAAGAGAGTTAAGAGTATTATATTAAAACAAGGCTTTTCAAAGGTTGTTATGCACAATATATAGATGTATGTTACAAGATATACAAGGGTTTAAGTCACAACGATCATTACGGATACATCCAAGCATTCGACACCATACCTTTGGCTTGAAGATTAGTTTAACGGTGAAGAACACAAATAATAAAAAAGCAAAGAAAACTGTTGGAATCTGTTCAGACAAATAAAATTGCTATTTAAATGTGACGGAGAAGAGAGAGAGAGAAAAAAAAAGAATATTCAAGTTTTATGTTCTTACACTTTGATAAAAAGTGTGAATTTAACCCCAAGTTGAGTGATATTGAATTTCAACAACACTTTGAGCAAAAAAAGAGCAGGTAATACGATAAACTGGATTTTTCAAGTTTGTCATTCCACATGTGCAAGTCAGTACTTATATTTAGATGTATAAAAAAAAAAATGCTACAACTCGTACACCAAGCCACAGTCTCTGATCTCGTTCAGATCAGAGTAAAAAAGAAGGGCTTGAAAAGTGGCAGGATAAAAGCATCCTCCGCTCCTCGTTTCTTTCTCCCCGCATCTTCCTGGGAAGAAAAGAGGTGGCAGTGGATTCTACCTGTAGCCCGGAGAGGGGAAAAGACCACTTCTTTTCCTTCTGTGCCTCTTGCGCCCTCTCGTGTGAGTTCTGTTTTTCCTGATTCACTCGCTGTCGGTCTCCAGCTCTGTGTCGGACCACTCCACGGGCTGCAGCAGGCCGCTCTGTTGGGCGTACTCGATCACTGCTTTGTAGCAGAAGTAGTACTGGTCCCAGGTTTGGATGCTGAAGGCACGCTGCGTCCGCATGCGACGCACCGTCTGCTTAATGTCCACTGTCCCAATGTCCTCCAGACGGGAGAGACAAATGTCTAAAGTACAAAACGTGCCTGGGGGAGAATAGAGTGAACTTGTAAGACATGCTATTGTGCAGTTAAGAAATTTAAAAAAAAAAAAAAAAAAGTACACTCACCTGTTCTGCCGATGCCTGCACTGCAGTGCACCACCACTGGGGGGCCTCCTGGGGGGCCCGTCCAATCAGGATACAGTGTTCGTAATGAGGACTCTTGTCTCCGTTTCACGTGTGCCTGGAAATCCAACATGGCTGACGCCGACTTCGGAACACCAAAATCTGGCCAGCTCATGTAGAGATAATGAGACACTTCCCTACATTCCCCTGTCTGAAAGAGAAGCTTGTACGGTCATTTACATTATTACAGACATTAACATACATATAAAAGGCCTCAACGTATCCCTTGTAACTAAACAATAAGTGTGTGATCTAAGGGTGTTCAGTGTTTCCCCTAGAAATTTTTTCAGCAGCGGTGCTGTTAGGTGCCGGAGGTTGTTACCAAGCCGCGGTGGGCGGGGCGGGGTGGGGCTGTGGGCAGGGCGGTGTGCGGTTTGGGGAATTGCACCTCCGGGAGAATTTTTTTTTAAATAACCCCTTCAACCATGAGTTTGAAAAATGTAAATACATTTTCCATACACATTAGATCCATCTGCATGACAAGTTCCATCATTACGCGTATTCACTGCGTCCTAAACCTACGCCTTTGTTATTGTAAGAGGTTAGCGACCCCTAGCGGCGGAGAAAAATACATAATGTAGCTTTAATGATATTTTGACAGTTAAGAGGTCGTTATACTATAAAAAATAACCTGTAAGTTTTAAAACTCAAACTAAAATGTAGAAATTGATAGGGGAAAAATGAAACGTCACAACCCAGAAAAAGATTATTTACAATTTATTGAACATTTTTTCTTAATGGCAAAGGCCACACCCAATCTGTGGCACTTAATTTTTCTGGGTTTTTCAGATGTGTGTGAGTGACAGTGATACTATTTTATGTTTTTGCAAGAAGCCTTATGCTCATCTAGCCTGCATTTATTTAATCAAAAATACAGAAAAAACAGTAGCCTAATATTGTGAAATACTATTACATGATGTTATTTTTTAATAATAAAAGAAACTTTAAAAAAAGAGCAGATATCATCATATTAGAATGTAGGGCTGGTATTGACACAAATTTCACAATTCGATTCGATTTCGATTCATAAGCTTGCAATTCGATTCGATTTCGATTCCGTTTCGATTCAATATTAATTATTTTGGATATCAGACAGTTACAATAAATGGCTAATTTTCTCAAGGAAATCAAATCTCTTAACTAATGCTGTAAACTATGGGAGTCTAGTTGTAGTAGCCTGCTAGGATTCATTAGCCTAATATGAAGGTAATAATGAACTGTTTTGTAGCTATACAAACACTTAAATTACACTTTTATTTATTTTTATAATAAGAAGATTATATAAACATTTAAATGGTGACTGTCATAAAAACTTGCCAGATTTATTCAAATATGCATTAAATATTGAAGAACATTAAGATTATAATGCATATGTAATATGGTGTATATATTTAGCAAAATACTCCTCTCTAGAGTTATTTTTCTAGCTGACTAACGAGTTGATGTGTGTTTTCTGAGGTAAATATGACGATACATGACATTGATTACAAGCTGTTTAACTGACGTCTTTCCACGGTTGAAACGCTGATTGAGCGAATCAATGTGACATGATACGGATTTGGATAAGATGTACTCTATCTTTAACACACTTTCAGATGCTCATTCATGTTTATTTCGCGCTGTGACTGGTATTATTAAGCCGGAAGAGAGATCAGGACTATGAGCAGTAGGTGATACTTCCTCGTCCGGCTCATGGAAAAAGTTCGTACCGCTTTCTCCTTTCCACAAGTGCTCGCTGTCCCGTGGAGTCTCTCGTTGCTATGCAACCTTGAACAGAGGCGCGATTGGATAAACGAGCGCGCCGCCACCGCGTCATTTCTATTCTGAGTGGAGCGCGTATGGCTTATTTAAATTAGGGACTTTAAGCAACAGCTGCTGATAGAACGGCGACGGCAGCCGGAAATAAACAGTTAACTGCCGTAGTTAAAGAGCGCAAAAATCACTAAGCAACAGTAAAGAGGACGGCATAGGGAATAATTTAATCATCAGACAAAATACAAAAAGAAAGTGATTTTAAAAAGAAAGAGAAGGGTTGATTTTAGCACTTAATGATATACAGAAACGATTTCAATGCCACATAACCTAAAACATAACATTAACTGTCTTAATCTGTCACGTAGTAACGACTACGGCAAATTAGCTGTTCTCCCGTAGTAGACGGTTACAGTAGAACGTCAAGAAGTAGCAGTTAATGTCGCGCATGCGCAATAGAACGCCAGAATGCCGTTGCCATTCCACCAGAGGCTGTTGCTTAAAGTCCCTATTAACGAACGGCCCCTTATGGCAACGTGACATTAGCCTAATCGAAAATATTTCCATATATGGCTCTTTCCTCCGTTCTTGTCAACAAGTGGATTCAGAGCCACATTAGCAGCGCTGCCGGTCGCCATGTCTGTGTTTTTAGGTGTATAAGTGAATGAAGTGAATGTCATGATATTGCTGATCATGAAAAGATTTTGCGGCGGCGCTGAAAATCCAACATTGTAGGGGAAACACTGGTGTTCACTCTTGGCTAGGGATGGGCATGATTAATCGACGATTTCTCCTTATATAGACATAAGCCACGCCCATTCTGGCAGGACGCTCATTGGTGCTTGCGTCACGCAAGTTCCCACGATAGGTTGCAGCTGTTGCCGCAGAGCAACCAATAGGCGTGCGAGTTGCCTCGCCTAGGTCTGCTCTGTGCAGCAATGCGTTTTAAATTTTTTGGCTTCAGTATTCTTGAGAAAAGGGATTTTCCCAAAGCGTAACCTAGCTTACACAATAGGAGTACTCTCATAAGACAACTGCATTATATGCAATTGTATACAAATCAGTTGTTAATTTTAACCTTTAATATTATATTATAATGTACCAGCTAAGTGAGAAAAATGTACAAAATCAAATATTTCGGAATCGAATCACAAGCTCATGAACGGAAATCGAATTGTGAAATTTGTCAATGCCCAGCCCTAATTTAATCAGTAAAAAGAATATATAGGCAACAAAAGATAAAAACAGAGACTGAGGGACTGACCTGAGTGTTGAAGAGCTCCAAGTGTGATAGCTTAAAGTCCTGAAACATCTCAATATGGACATTTCTCACCAAAAAGTACCCATAGTCCTCAGTGCGGCCAGCCTCTAATGGCCAGTACTGTCCGCATTTCACTCGACCTCGCTCTACAACTCTGAGATGGACAAAGACAAGATTGTCAAGAATTAAACTGGTCTTCTTTACCAGACATTAATACTTATACTAATATTATAAAGACAACAGATAAATACATGGAATAGTGTTTAAATTACTATTTTTGACATTCAACTGCATAAA